AATAAACTCGTTGCATCCTTGTGAACCCGAAATGTGCTTGGGAAAATTTATGCTATCTCTTTGGTACAAAATATTTCACATTAACTTCAACTTACCGACAGATCTGGGGGTATTTTCCGCTAAATATCGTCATTTGTTTTAAAACAAAGCCATCAAACATTTTTCCCAAGCAGGATTCAGTTAGAGGAAACTCCTCTTATATATTTCCACAAAATATATTAAATACATCCTCATTAATGACCTGCGCCAGGCTCTTTTATATATATATTATGAATTATGCCTCTGTCCACGGGTATGAAAAAGGGTAAATGTCAAACGTATATTTTCGTACGTAGTTTGAATTTAACACGCTGACTCTTAAACAAGAGTAATAAAGCAAGTTATCTAAATTATTCTGATATATATGATTTTTGGAAAAAAAAATTATAAAAACACATTTAGTTTAAACTAGCATTCTGCATCTGTATATGCAGATTGAAATAAGGTGTAAAGTTTATTTGACTCTCCCCATCATTACAGCTCAAGTATGCAGTTACTTGACGTCATTTTCAATCATGACGTCATACATTTGTAGTTCAGAGAAGTGCTTGCACAGAGTACACTACAATATTCTCTGGGAAGCCTTATCGTACCTGCGCACTGAATGAAGTTTTCATAGAATTTTTTTTTACATATCGCCGTTGTCCACCTTCTATTACTTCTTCATCCTACGCATATTTTAGATTTCCCATTGCAAAACATGGACACTGCCATTATATTCATATTAGAGGAGGTTAGATCATTTATATAATTCACTGCTCCTGGTAACTCTAGTTCATCTTCAAATTTGTAATATATTTTTCCATGACACCTTTACCCATGTGTTATGAAAATTTCAGTTTCACAGGAATAATATCCATTTTGATAAAACGTCAGCACCCTTTTAAACATTAAACAGAACGGAGTGGTTTATAATATGTTATTATGTTCCCCAAACAAAGTTGGGGAACATATTGTTTTTACTCTGTTTCTTATTATTATTATTATTATTATTTTTCTTCTTCCTGGGAAAATCTTTTCCGCGAATGATCTTGTAAACTACACATCCGACTTAGGTGAAACCTTTTTAGGGTCAGTAGGCATGTTATTTAGATTTGCGGAACGAAGGTCATTTTGCGCGCACTTGCTTGCAAGAGCGTGCACGTGCAACGCGTGAAATGACCAAAATAATAGATACAGCCGTAACTTTTCTATTTTTTGATTATATGCTTTGATACTCATAATATAAGTATATATTAGTAGTATAGACGTGTTGACATGGTCAAAATAGCAAGATCTCACGCGCATGCACGTGCGCTTCACTCTGATTGGCTGAAACTAAAGTCTCAATATCTTTCTTGTTTTACGTGATAATCCTTTGAAATTTTGAACTTAGTCACACAATATGAAGATCTACAGCATGATATATAATATTATTATATTATTATTAATACTATTATATAATATGAAATTACTAAGATAATTTTCATGAAAACCCGTACATGCTCGTGTGCTGACAAGAGCGTGCACGTGCAACATGTGAAATTACTAAGATAATGGATGAAACCGTAACTTTTCTATTTCTTGATGGAATTTTTTGAAACTCACAATGCATGAATATAGTAGTAGTATGGACAAGATGACATGGTCAAAATTGCCAGATCTTACGCGCATGCACGAGCGCTTTGCTCTTATTGGCTGAAACTAAAGTCTCAATATCTTTCTTGTTTTACGTGATAATCCTTTGAAATTTTGAACTAAGTCACACAGCATGAAGATCTACAGCATGATATATAATAATTTTCATGAAGGCCCGTACATGTTCGTGTGCTGGCAAGAGCGCGCACGTGCAACATGTGAAATTACTAAGATAATGGATGAAACCGTAACTTTTCTATTTCTTGATGGAATTTTTTGAAACTCACAATGCATGAATATAGTAGTAGTATGGACAAGATGACATGGTCAAAATTGCCAGATCTTACGCGCATACACGAGCGCTTTGCTCTTATTGGCTGAAACTAAAGTCTCAATATTTTTCTTGTTTTACGTGATAATCCTTTGAAATTTTGAACTTAGTCACATATTATGAAGATCTACCGCATGATATATAAAAATTGTCATGAAAGCACATAAATCCACGTGTGCTGCAATCTGATTGGCTGAAACTTTACATGAGTATATCTTTCTTGTTTCTCAACAAAACAGGATGAAGTTTAGAATATGAATAGGTATTATGGATTCCTACATGATATTGCTATCAAAATTGAATGCCAGGACGTGCTTGCATGCACATGCGCACACGCAATGCGTAAAATGAACAATATGTTTGAAAAACGGTAAAATTTATATTTTTATGACTTTATTGATTTCTGGAATATAAAGATATGTTAATGATTTAGAAAACATGTCATGATCACCTTGCATATGCATGCACGTGCGTTGCGAACAATGCGTTAAATGACAAAAAGTTGATATCAATGTAGCTTTTAAAATTCTTTTATGAAATCCTGCGATACTAAGCATATTGAAAAAAGTTTTTGAAGGAAATTTTCACAAAAAGGGAGTTGGGGAGCGTTTGGGGAACATCTGTAACGGTCCCCGTTACAATTAGAACTAGTTTTCATAAGTATTTAAGTTCTGTGATAATACATAAAACAGTTATATAAAAATAAATTCAGTTTTAAAAAAACATTACCGTTTTTACACTTTTACTTCTACTTTCCGTTGATTTCTCATTGTAAGCCTTTACAGTGTTGCATAATATTTCATTTCTTTCAATTTACCTCTCTTGTGTACCAACTACTTGACTTTCATTGATACATTTATGCACGTTGAATATAAATTCTTTTGTTTTTCGACAGAAGATTTAAAGTTCATTACAATTGCATGGTATGATAACTGTTTACATATCTTTCAACTCATGAATTTATTTCAGATTAATTTAAGTTTCTTGGCTTTTTCCTGTCTTCAGCACTATTAATTCACTTTATGACATGGCCAATCTGGTATCAAAACACAGCTGGAAATAATAGTAGTTCAGGAAATGGAAAACCAATACATAACGGCGTTTAGGCATGGTTTAAATTACTTGCCTAGCACAAAGTAATAAGAATTGATTTTCTTATACCTTCTTTACTGCTTTACTACCTTTTCTCTCTTCGTTTACAAGCATCGGTACAGTGTTTTTTAAACGAGTCATCAATAAACGGGGAAAATGCACTGTTCATTAGCATAATGGGTCAGTGCAAGGATTAGTGTATTCATAAACCAAAAACACGTGAACCTGATAAATATAACCTAGTTTGTCAATGTTTAATCTCGTGAATTGTCTTTCAAAATCTGTTTTCAAATTACTATCTATAATAAAAAATATTTTTGATTTAAAAATTAAAACTTTCACGATATGTAACATTATTTGACTGCATGTCCCTTGCCCTATTTTCTCTCGTGGATTATTACACATTCGAATAAAGTTAATAATAAATATTTAATTTTCTACACACTTTAAAACACATCAGGGAAAAAATCGTCCTTTGTAGATATGATTATTGCAAATAGGCAATATTATACAAGAACCTGTACGTAAACTACGCAAATGAAAATGTGATTAATATCAATACATTGGAAAATCCTTTACAAGTAACATAACATGAGTTGATACCATCATCTCATAACCGTTCACGGTAGCTCAGTCGGTAGAGCGCTCGCTCAGTGATCGGGAGGTCGTGAGTTCGTATCTCGGCCGCGACTGACCTAGTCGATAAAATGGGTAGAAACTGTTCCTTAGCCATGCGCTCGGCACTTTAAAGTGAAAGTTGCGGATCCTTTGGATAAGACCTTAAAAAGCTAGGCCCCGTGTCAGCGGCAGGCGTTGGAACGATCTCTCAATGCTTAATGGCCCTGAGTACCGAGTAAAGGTCAAAATTTGAAGCCCTTCACTGGCATACCTTGACGTCTCAATGTGAGAGAAAAATATACAATCAATCAATCATCATCTCGTCAAAACTTCAAAAGTCCATATAACGAATCAGTGTAAGAATTAAAAATGACAGAAATGTGACAAAGTTGTACTTTTTTTTACTTGTGATCAAACCTAAAAAAGAATTAAAATAATAATTTTTTTGGTAAAATATTCGGAGGACTGCCATCCACTCCCACACTGCTACTTACAGGGACTTTGCATTGGGACCTGGGCAAGACCCAGGGACCCCTCAACAGTTTCCTGCTGTTATACACATTTATTTTCCTCCTATTGAAATATAGCGAACGTTGTGTATACTTATTGTGTAAACCTGGAGGATAGTACATTCAATTCATATTTTTTTCATTAATAAAATCAAAATTTTTATTTCAGGATACTTTTTAAGCAATCTTAACCACTTAATAATAAGATTCATGACAATGCTTTACTATACTTTAAGGTTGTATTCAAATCAGAATATTATAAACATATGAAAATAATAAAACTTTTAACAATTAAACAGTTTTAAATCAACATAGAGTTAACTATAAATTGATTTTATTTCAATGCTATGTATATAATCAACACAAAGTGACATACGGCATGTATTCATTTATATATTTAAAATTTACAAAGCTATACAAGGATCACCGATGAAATATATGAAAATAACTAATTGTATTAAAGTTCAAAAGTCTATTTAACAAAGCAAATTAGGAGCACAGCAAACATGGACCTCCAAAACATTAGAGGTGGGATTAGGTGTCATAGAGAAGTGAACATCATCTGTGGACAGGTCGCACCCGCACAGTGCTCCTTGTCCTCATCAGGAAATAACGGGAAATCCGTCGATAATTAAGTATATTTAAAATGACTTAACAATCAATATGTAAAACGTCAATCAGCATTTGACATAATGATAAACGGTATTTGCTACATTGTAACAAGGTCATTGTATCGACCATAGGACATACTAAGTTATAATCTTAAAAGATGCTTTTAAGGAAATTTTACTTACTTTTTGGTAGGTTATTTATAAACTATCGTACCCAAACCAAAATAAGGAAATGTCCTAGCATGTATTCTGATCACAATCTACTGCATAAGTCTTTCTCCTAAAACAATCCCGCCTCCTATTATAGCCCCGCAGTCACTGTGAATCAATTGTACCCGTCATTTGCTTGTTTCGATCTCCACGACATTTACATATTGATCGAGTATCGACTTAATGTAAGGGTGTTCGTGTTTTATGATCTGACTGCATCCATTCTGTGTAAATCGATCACCATTAGACCATTAGTGTATAATAACAACAAATTATCTAAAGATTTTAAAGCAATAAAATGAGAGCTGAACATATTACAACACATTACAACATATTTTATGAAATAACTGTAACATAATGAATATTATTTTCTAATACGCAACAACTCTGACTAATTACCGATTCCGAAATTTTATCCTACCAAACATTAAGTTGAATGTGAATGAGACTATTCATTTATATAGACTTAGTGACATACATAACAAACTATTTGCTCATTTTGGATTATTTCATCAGTAATATTTGAAATGTACTTACAATCCATAAAAGATTTTTTTTGTGGAGAATATTAGAAAAGAGATTTCAAATAAGCAATGGGACTAAAAAGGGAGTTGAAATCCGAGTAGCGTGCCCTGAATCCTTAAAAGGGAAAGAACATTCTGATATATAATGTTTTAATATATAGTTAATCTTTAATTCTGAATAAATTCAGAATAAAACGATAAAATAATTGCTAGCAACTGTTCGTTCGCCCTGCAGTCGGCACTTTGAAGTGATTGTTGCGAGTCCATCGGATTAGACCTTAAAAACCGATATTCCGTGTCACGACAGGCATGGGCACAATAAAGATCCCTCACTTTTCAATGGCTCAAAGTACCAAGTTTGTTTTAATGAGAAAAATTAATATGTTTTACCGCATAGTATAATTAATGTTTTATTAAAAGTTTCACTAAAATGGGATTTGAAGTGAAACATATTTGTATGGATTATAAAAACGGTTTCAGAAAGGTCAAATTTCGAACATCAGAGAAGGTTTACAACTTCTTTAGATTCTATTTTTTTTTAAATTTCCATCATTTGCAATGAAATTCGGCCAAAAATATATACTTATCCAAGCATCCATTTTTTGTTTGTATCATCCGTCCTTAATACAAATATTTACCCATGCATTAATTCCATCTTATTAAAAAAAACTTGCGTATTGAAAATATTTTGCTGTAAATCAATTGTAAATTGAAACAATATCTTGAATTTGAGATAAACAGCAATAAGAGCATTCTTCGCACATGTCACAGCTGGCATTTTTTAGAATAAAGGTTTGCTGTAAATCAATTGTAAAATGAAAAAAAAATATTGAATTTGATATGAAAAGTTAAAGGAACGCCCCTTACTGCAATGTAACAGCTGTTTTAGCAGTGTTATTTATTGCAATCGAAGCAACATTGTATAAATTGCAACATGTATTAATTTTACAAAAGACTTGCATAGTTTCGCTTTAGTTTGCTTCATAAAAGGCTTTCTGTTCAATTATATATAATCGCTAATAAACTGCAAGTCTCAAGATGTGTCTAAAGAAAAACGCCCTAGATACCAAATAATTTTAGAGCAAAAATTATTTTTATGTAAAGACAAAGAACGAGTGCACTTATTGGCCCCGGTAAAATGTGAAAAAATAAACAATCAAATTAAGCAAAATTTTTATCTCAAATCATTAATTGATATTTAAACCATACGATTCAACGAATTTTACCGCTGAAATCCACGAATATACAAAGAACAAAACTATACAATGTGGTAGGGTTCAGCCGACATTTGCCATTTTCTAAAGTAAATCGAGAAGGTCAGTCATTTCACAGCTTTTGTTAACAATGAGCCTACCGTTGTGCAAAGTTGTGCGAATGACAAAAGACGCATAATACATTTATTCAACTTGTGTGAAAGTATGAAATTTGCACACGATTAGGCTCGTACTTAAAATATTAAATCTATATAAAAAGTACAATGTTCTTCCTACAGCAAATGAGAGCTATTGACCTGTATGACCCATGTTGGACCCACGTGTGGAATAAATTATTTAAATTACTGATATTTACGTATGTTTTACCCAGGTAAACATTTCTCAAAAGTGCTCACTGTAAAACATAGGCGTGTTTTGTTTCAGTAAGTCAAAGTTGTGCCTCTTAGAGATGCATGTTTGTAAGTATTGTTTTTTTATAACAAGGAAGGTAAATATTTTAGGGTTTTTGTATGATTCAAGCTACCAGAACCTTCTATATTGAACAACGTTAGAAAACCTTTAATGGGCCCCGAATCCATTAAATCAATTTCTTATACGTAATCAAACTGCATATCGATTTTGTGAATTTAAGGGATCTGCCTGTAGAGAGTGACCCGATATAATCTGCCACAAGATCAGAAGATTAGATATGATGCTGAAAATGCATGTCTTTTGATAACTTAACAATCTTTTGAAATAGTGTTCTTAAAAAAATAAAAGGTACCTTGATGTGAGTAGCTCCAAAATGTAGACCTTGATATTTTGTATTTCTAGGGAGGTGCTTGATCAGTTCTGAGAACTTAGCGAGCAGAATATCACTATCAAAGTGATGAGATCTCAAGACTATCCAACATTAGGAAAACCATAACGGACAAGATATGCCAAGACCATATTCTGGCCCCTGGTTTTCGATGTCTTCAAGAATGATGTAACAGTTTATCAATAAAACCTTGTTGTCAACCCTCCCACATGAGCATTGTTACTAAGTGATGGGAACATATATCATAGGAAGATCAAAAATAAGACAAGGTCTAACAAATTCAAATACTTTATACACTAGTATACAGTAAGCTTCATCTTGTATATAAGACCTCAGATAGACAAGCTTATGCTCTATATTTCCTGAGGTGAAAAATATCTTTAAGTTGACTAATTTCCACCAGAATTAAAGGAATTTTGGAAAATGTCATTCTTTTGCACTCACTTGAGCTTGTCCTGTAAACTTTCAATCAAAATAAGTGTTTGTTTAAAAAAGTATCATTTTAAATTCTTAACTGCAAACCTTTACAATTCTAACTCGATTTCTTCTGATTTATACATTAAATAAGGTGCCAAATTTTGCGTTTACTATACCTTTTTCTTTCATAATTAACTTGTAAGGTTTACAAATAAAATAAAAACATAATAAATAGAAGGAAGTTGTGTTTGAGAAAAATTGACAGCTTCTGGAGAGGGTTTACGCTTCTCAACATGTGTCTAACTCCAAGGTTAAGGTCAAGAAGTCATAGATATTGTAACCCAAAGAAAGCAATTGTGTCAATGGATAAACCAGTAAGTATAAAAGCCTAAGCACCAGTCATTCAAAATGTATGCTCAATATTAATGTTTCTAAAAGTGGACCAAACTCAAAAGTTGAGATCAAAGGGTCAAAACTAATCACACGTTGGGGAAGACCTTGTTAGAAGAAATAAATATGCAAACTAAATAGATAGGTACAAACCTATCCTCAATTCATTTGTTTATTGGTATATTTATTTGAAGATATGTGCAATTAATTGAACAAATATTTGGTTACAAGAACATGTTAATCTGCCCTTCCATGAAGTTACAAAATTGTTAGAAGTTGGTCCAAAACGTAGATCATGGTCAGAATGTCAAAATGGTTGGTATTTAAAGAAAAGTCTTGTCAAATAGAATATACATGTAAATTTGAATGCCTTTGTTCTAGCTGTTTAAAGTTATGACCTTGTTAAAGTTGTTTTTAAGTGAAAAAAAACTCTGAGATAAAGGTCTAAAATTCAAACATATTTAAACGCTTGGCAAGGCTTTGCCACGATGAATACACATGAGAGATTTGAAAGCTGTAGTTGTAGTCAGTAAAGCATTATGTTTATTTTAATTATTCACTAAAATGGTGCTGAGGCATAGATTTGAAGTTGATAATTTCTCTATTTTGTCTGTATAATATCATGTGTTATATTTTTTCAAAAGCATTTCACACAAGACATATAATAATATAAAAAAATAATGGAAGGAATTGATTGACACATACTTGCACTTCCGCAATTTTTTAATTAATTCTTAACACTTAAAAATAGGAAGCAGTATTGTTCACTAAGACACCACATATTGCTACTTTTCTTAAGTATTAAGAATATAATTAATAGTTGTTTAACGAGGCCGAGGCTAATTCGAGTATGCATCACTTTGCGCAGCTTTTTAATTTCATGCAGTCATTTGTGTGACAGTACAGCTTTGAAAATTATTTTAATTTTAATACAAAATTAACATTATTTGTAACTCCTACTGATCTGAAAATGTTATTTTATGACAATTATTGGAAAAAGAACTTTGAAATGGCTCTAAAAACGTCATCATTTTCGGATTTAAAAGCAATTCATGACGTTAAGGAATGATGCATGACTCGCTTGTATACATGTTCAAGACGTCCATGGATATTTTACTAAAAACTGATGACATAACTTCCCAAGAAACATACTAGCAATCTAAAAGTTGCTATTTATGCTGAAAAAATTGTATGCGCCGATAATTCATCAGCAAAGATATGTATTTATACCGTAATATCGCAATTTTAGAGGTAATTGGCTTCGAAAAAATAAACTTTAATTACTACCAAGACCAATCGAGATGTGAACTTTTTTGAAATTTCACAATTTGGTGACTTTTTACATTTATTTTCATTTACTTGAATGAAAAAGAAATCCCTGGAGCAGAAGTAAAAAAAAAAATTAAAAAATGTAATAATTTGGCGATTTTCCAACAAATTCCCATAGGGTCCAATACATGTAGTAAAGTTTCACAACATTTAAGATGGCCCCCTAAGAAATCGGGGTGGTAAACATTCGGTTTTTTTAATCCTAAAACAATAAATATAACAGTAAAAATTAATAATTAAAAAATTATCAAAATCCCTAGGGCAGAAATAATTAGAATCGGTCTCGTTTAGTGCAAGGATGAGTCAATCTAACCCGTCCAGAAATCCAATGTTTCAATAACTTCGAAATGAATGAAGATTTTTTAAAAATATTTTCCTTTGAAATACTATTGCACTTCATAACTCGTGATATTAATTAGAAAAAAAAACAGAAAATAT